GAGCATAGGCCACGCTGTACACAGCCATGTGCACAGGCTGCACCTGGGTGATGCTCAGCAGGAAGGAGAGGTCCCCCAGGGAGATGTTGTCACACTCCTGGCACTGCAGGTCCAGCACGTTGGTGCTCATGAGCCGGTTGAGTTCTCTGGACTGCTGGCAAAATTCATCCTGCTGAACAGAGGTAAAGAGGTCAGCAACATACTTCTGGAAGCCAGGGACTGTGCCTGTTTTTGTCACAAAGCCTAAGACTGTCCCAATGCTCTGAATATTTGGGATGGAGGCAGGTAAGTCAGACAGCATCCAGGCTTGGCTGCCAATCCAGACTTTCTTGCTCAGTCCCATCTTGATGGCTTGTTCCATCAGGGCCTGGGCTGACAGAGTATAGGCAAAAAGGACAACGATGTTGACTTTGGTCCTATTAATTAAGTTAATGACATCTTCCAGTTGTTTTTTGTCACTGGGCTCGGTCACGTCTGTAGGAATTATGCCCTCGAAGGCAATGCAGATGTTGTTATTTGCAGCTGTGCTTAAGAAGAGTTCCTGGGCTCCTTGGCCATACTCATCATCACTTGCAACGGTGGCAATCCAGTTCCACCCAAACCTGTTGAGGAGCTGGACCACAGCTTCCACCACGTTCTTGTCACCGGGGAGAGTGCGGTAGAAGGACGGGAACAGCTCGGAGTTGCTGAGCTTCTCACTGCTGGCTGCATAGCTCACCTGCAGGGTGGGAGGGACAGAGGGAGGCAAAGAGGGATGTCCAGGTCATTCTCTACCTTCTTTTCTTAGTGTTAGTGCCCTAAGGTTTCAAAAATGCTGGTGAGGGTAGTGGGGAGAACTCATCCATCTTGGCTGCATTTACTGTCTCCTTCCACTGCCAGCCCTTATCATTAATGACAGTGATAATTAACTGCTTTCTACACAGGGTGACACCCTCAAAATTCAGTTATATCTTAGCTGAGGGCTAAATTTCCCTGACCATTAGAGCCCTCTGTTGTGGTAACTGAGTATTTAGTCATGTTTTCTCGTGTGTAGTCAAGTATTTTAGTCAGTATTTTCATGAGATCCTCCCAGTTTACACTGGGAGCTCTGTTATTCCCATTTTACATGGATCACAGTGGTCTGAGTTGTCCCTGTTCTCTCTGGGTGGTTAAACACTGTAGTGTCTCCAGGAGGGAATTTGACTGACCCACCCAAGATCACCCAGGAAACCTGTGGCAGAGGAAAGACAGGAACTGCACTTTAACAATCCATGTTCCCAGAGCATGGACAACACTGTTGATCCAAACCCTTCCCCACCAGAAAGGAGGATTCCTGCTTCTCCAGAGAGGTTCTTTACCTGTGGGATGAAGAAGGTGCTGAACAGTTTGGCTGTCACCAGAGAGAGATCTGACTTGTGGGGCCCGATCACGGCGGTCACGCGGGGCTGGCAGTCGGTGGAGTCGCACAGAATTCCAATGCCTGTGGTGTCATTCCGGGTCAGGAACATCAGGCTGGCCTGCAGGGCCACCAGGGGCTCAAAGCAGCTGTCATAGATGTCATAGCCCAGTGTCACCCCTGGCAGGAGGGAGGTGGAATTGTTGATCTCATCGACAGCGAACTTCATCCCCAGAGCCCAGATCAGCCCGTCCGTGTTCAACCTGCAGGAGGAGGAGGAGGAGGAGGCAGGAATTACAAGGGTTGTTACAACAGGGAGCAGCTTATTCCCTGGTTTTTTTACACTTTGCATCCTGTCTGTGGCCAAGCCAGGCATTTGTGGCACTGTCAGCAGCCAGAGCACCCCTGGACCCATTTGTAAATTTTCTACTGTGAGAGTTTGAGCACTTTTCAAATCTAATTAATCTTGTCTGCCAGCAAATATATCCTTGGAGCTTCCCAGGAGAAGGAACAGAGTATGGAGACAAGTATGTTTAGCTCTGAGGGTCAAGACCTGCTCTCAGCTTTGTGTGCTTCACCCCTGAAACCAGAGATTCCCAAGGTGCTAATTCAGGATAAATGTCCTTCTTCCTGGGATTTTCCTCCCACCTGTATCTCAGTACACTGAGCATATTCCCTGCCCCAGGGCCTGTGAAGATGGAAGGATTTTGGCCCCTTTTGGCTCTTCTGTGCTTTGTTGCTGCCAAAGCAGGAGACAGGACACCAACTTCTCCTTCTCACAGAGAGCTGTGAGGAGCTTGTAACGGGGTGCTGTGAACCACCTTGGTGTGAGTGAGTAGGAAATACCAATCACACACCAGCAGATGTGCAAGCCAGGGGATTTTCTTCCCTGCTTTGCCTTTTGCACAGTACTGAGTGTCCTTCTGCCTGTGGAGAGCAGGGCATGGAGCAAAAGCAGCGCTGCCACCTTTATGTGTGAGATTCAAGCACTAAGGGAGCCAAGTGCTGCTAAAAAGCTTCCATCAAAACAGGTGCCTGAAGTCTGACAACAGAGTGGCATCAAGAAAACACAAACCCACTTTCCATTTTGGGATCAGAAGCTGACATTCCCTTACCCCAGTGCTCCAGCACCTCAGAGCTCCTCTTTGCTCCATCCCACCTTCAGTGCTGGCTGTGACACCACCAGAAGAACCACTTTCCTTTCTCCCCCCAGCCCTGGTGAAGCCAAAATTGCTCTTATTTCTCACACACCACTAGGATGACTTGACTTTTTCCTTTCTCCCCCCAGCCCTGGTGAAGCCAGCATGGCTCTTACCTCTCACACACCACCGGGGTGGGCTCCACGCGCATCGACAGGTTCAGGGTGTCCTTCCCAAACGGGAACAGCCCTCCCAGGATATAATCCCCGGGCCTCCTGAACTGAGCCGACAGGCACGTGGGGCTGAGGGCTCCTGCACAACCCAAACCCAGGCACAGCAGCAGCTCAGGGACCATTTTTGGCTGTTTGGGGGGGAAAGAAATCTCTCTGAGTGACTGTGGGAGAGGGAAGAGGGGCAGGGGGGATCCAGTGTCATCACTTTAAATAGAACTCGGAGATGAAAATATTGGGCAAGAATTTGTTTAGCAAAATGCATTAATTTAACTCTGTGCTCAGCGGGCAGTAGTCAAATATGCAGCAATGCCCTCTGAGTGCTCTTGGTTGGAAAACCACTGCCCTCATCCTGCTTTCCTTTGCTCAGAGTGAATTACCAAATTCTTTTGGCACAGCTCTGGAAATTGGGCTTCCTCTGGGATAGGTGGTAAAAAACTCAGGCGCCCCACTCTGATTTTTGTAAAACCTCTTTGTAAGAGGTTTACACAGCAGTAATTTTTATTTATATATTTTTCAAATTCAGGGTCACCCCACGATGGAGATAACCAGCTCTTCCTCAGGGCATCACAGGAATTTGCCTGGAGAAGGCCAGTCCTGGGTCACAAGGTTGGTGCTTGTTATTTTTTAGGAAGTTTTTACTGGCTGGTTGAATTTTTTTTCCTCACACTGAGCTATGATATTGATTTCACTTGAAAAACTTCAGGTTTAGGTACAAGTTCACAGCGTAGCAATTTAGGCTGGATCATGGCTTGCATTTCTCCTGTCAGGTTTGAATTTCAGCACACAGGATAGCTCTGAATGAAAAGTTCAGTTTACTGCATTTTATTGGTTTATTATATATTTATACTGTATCATAAAACTGATGCACCAAGTTGCACCAAAGTGATGCACCAAGGCTGCAATATTTCCCTTGAATGAGGAGAAGCAAATACACTGTAGAGAGTTAAATACACCAGTAGTTCAGGCAAGCAACAGTTGTAGCTGTGTTATATATAGGTATGTTTGTACAGATATATTGTTAAGGATACTTTCCCTTTAATGGAATATTTAAGTGATAGGTTTAAATATGTAACTTCTTTTAAAAAGCTCAGCTTGATCTCCAGGTAAATGAAACAGACTCTGCCAGTGAGAGAAGATCAGAGTAGATAACAGTGTAAGACCTGTTCCTTCCAACCCCACAATCCCAGAGCACATTCCCATAAAGGACACTCCTCAGAAGCACATTATTCACGTAATTTTATGTCCAGTTAATCCAGTTTCCATGAGGTAACAGTGATTTGCTGGATCACACAGTGTTACATTATGCCCAAAAGATACAATCAGAACATGGTACAGCTTGTGAGGTTCCCCCTCCTCCCCCAAACATTCACATCACCCTGGACTAAACATGTAGTGCTTTCTCAGCTTTCCAGAAGCTCAGTAAATTCCATTTTCATCCTTTGGCTATTACAGTGATTTGCAGTAGAAGCCATGTAGTGATTTACAGTACAAGTGTGGATTTCTCCCCAGTCAGAGAAATCGTTTTTGTAGGCATTTAACACATTCATTAACCAAAAAAAAAACCCACCACCACATGAGCACACGACGTAGAAGCACAGCTGGAACCCAGCTCAGGTGCAGTCTGCAGCCTGGGCTGGACACAGATTAGGAATTGGTCCACATCCCAAGTGCAAAGAGCATGGATTTAACGGGCAGGGGAAGGGCACAGGAGGTGCTGCTGAGGGGATCTGGGACATCCACCCCCAGCTCCTTCAGCTCTGGGGGACACAGCATTAGCAGCAGTGCTCAGGTGGGGGTGTGACCACACATCCTTCACTCAGAGTTATATTCTCAAGGTTAAAAACTCCCCCAAACCCCCCAGATGCAATGAAGCTGATAAACACAAGTGGCCAGGGGAGATCAAGTGCAGTGTAAATGTGTTCAGACTCCACCTCGTGTCACACAAGGCCACAACTAGTGGTGTAAATGCACAGAAGCTGCTGAATTGCAGAGTTTGGCTTTAAAAAGAAACCACCTCCCCTCCCAGCCTTGCTGGAGAGCTGGAGGTGACTCCAGGAACAAAAAAAGAAATCCCTTAAGCAGCTCATAGTGCTGTGAGTTCTCTTCTTAGTCTCGAGGTCTACACACACACTGACATAGATATAAAATACAGATCATACATGTATATATGTACAACACACACAGATAGAAAAAAAAACTGAAACATCTTTTTTCTGTCTCCCTGAATAGCTTGGCCAGCTCCCTGCTGGGAAGGGAAAGGAAATCTTTAAGCTCATACTGCTGTGGGTTTTTTTTTCCTTAGTGTCAAGCTCCACACACACACTGACATAGACATAAAATACATGCATGATATGTGTTTTATATGTATAACATAAATAGATGTAAAAAACCTGGTACATCTTTTTCTGTTCTAAGGTGAGGCACCCTGAATAGCTTGGTTAAATGGTCAGCTCCCTGCTGGAGAGGGAAAGGAAATCCTTAAAGCTCCTGCTGCTGTGAGGGGTTTTTTTTCTTACTGTAGAGCTCCACACTAAGATATAAAATACATTTCATACATGTATCTATATATAACATACATAGATATAAAAACCCCTGGTTCATATTTCTCTGTTCCAAGGTGAGGCACCCTGAATAGCTTGGCTCAGTGGTCAGATCCCTGCTGGGAAGGGAAAGGAAATCCTTAAGCCTGTGGGGAGCCCCCCCCAGACACTGACACAGATATAAACTACATGTATGATATGTGTTTTATATGTATCACATAAATAGATATAAAAAACCCTGGTATATGTTTTGTAAGGTGAGGCACCCAGAGTAGCTTGGCTAAGTGGGAAGGGGAAAGTGGAGGTGCCCACGGGCAGAGAGCCAGAGAAACTCTTGATTTTCACCCCAGTCCTGCTGGGATGTGCCCCCTCCTGTCAGGGCAGGTCCAGCAGGCTGTGCTGGGCAAAGAGCTCCTGGGTGATGCCATAGACACTCTGGATGTAGGGAATGGCCTCCCCCAGCATGTCCACGGCCTGCTCGGGGGGGCCCACGTTCATGACCTCCAGGAAGGCGTCCCGGGAGGGCAGGGCACAGAAGGCCAGCGTGGCGGCCTTGCGGACCACCCAGGGGTGGTGTTTGGCCAGCGAGGCGTTGTAGGAGTCCGTGCAGATGGTGGAGGTCCGGGAATCCCTGTGGCCCGTGCGCAGCCCCTCCAGGAAGAGCTGCAGCCAGAGCAGGGCGCGGTGCAGCCGCAGAACCGTCCGGCACCCGGAGTCGGGGCGGCCCCGCAGCTCCGCCGGCCCCCGGGAGAGCTCGAATTCCACCATGGACTGCAGGGACTCGTAGTGCTGCCCCTGCTCCCCCCGGCGGTGCCGCTCCATGATCTGCACCTTGGCAACGGCGTCCTTGGAGATGAAGCCGAAGACGGCGCCGAGGCTCTGCAGGAACCTGGGGGACCATGGAATTACGGAATGGTTTGGGATGGAAGGGACCTTAAAGAGCATCCATGGGCAGGGTTAGGGTTAGGTCACCTTCCACCATCCGAGGTGGCTCCAAAGCCCGTCCAACCTGGCCTTGGACACTTCCAGGGATCCAGGGGCAGCCACAGCTTCTCTGGGCAACCTGTTCCAGGAAGGAAGAATTCCTTCCCAATATCCCGTCCAACCCTGCCCTCTGGCAGTGGGAAGCCATTCGCTGTTTCCTGTCCCTCCATCCCTTGTCCCCAGTCCCTCTCCAGCTCTCCTGGAGCCCCTTTAGGCCCTGGAAGGGGCTCTCGGGTCTCCCAGGAGCCTTCTCTCCTCCAGGTGAACCCCCCCAGCTCTCCCAGCCTGGCTCCAGAGCAGAGAGACTCCAGCCCTGACAGCATCTCTGTGCCCTCTTCTGGACTCGCATCCTCCTTACCCCGGAGGCCGCAGGGCTGCGCACAGATATCCATCCCCAGAAACCATTTTTTTTTATCCCGTGGGAGCTCCCTTCCTGCCCTAACACCGTAATTCTTTGACGTTCCCACCTGCCTCAAGGAGCAGCTGACCCGCCAGTGACGCCCCGTGCGCTGTCACTCCCCTCTCCCGTCCAAAGTCGCTGTGCGCGGGGGGCACTCACCGGATGAGCCCCCACCAGCCGCTCAGGTAGGGCTCCAGCAGCACCTCCCGCCGCTCGGTCACGCACCCCCGGAAGGCGTCCAGAACCTCCCTGAGGCTGAACGCGCCCGCGGCCGCCATCGCCCCGCGCCGCCGCCTCCTCCTCCTCCTCCTTCCGCCCCCCCGGCGCGGCCAATCCGCGCGCGGTCCGACTCCGCGCTCTGCCAGCGAGCCAATCGGGTTACGATGCGTCACTGCGGCTCGGGCAGTGGACCAATCAACGTCTGGTGCGTGACGGCGGCGCGGCCAACCGCGCTGGGTGCGGCACAGGGACGCGAGCTGCCGGGGCGGTGGCGGCGCAGGCGCAGTGGGGCGGCGTCAGGGCAGAGGGCCGGGAGTGCCGCGGCCGCGGGGTTTGGGTGGGTTTGGGTGGTTTCTGCGTGGTTCTGTGTGTTTTTTTGTGATTTTTGTGTGGTCTTGTACCATTATGTGTGTTTATGTGTGTGTGGGTTTGGTTTTGTGTGTTTCCGCCTGTCCTTGTGTTTGGTTTTGTGTGTTTGCATGTCTCTGTGCGGTTTTTGTGTGTTTCTGCGTGTGGGTTTGGTTTTGTGTGTTTGTGCGTGTGCTTGGTTTTGTGTGTTTCTCTGGTTTTTGTTTCTGTGCATGGGTTTGGTTTTGTGTGGTTTTCACGTGTTTATGTGTTTCTATGTGCATTTGTGTTCGGTTTTGTGTGTCTCCGTGTGTGTTTTTTCCAACTCCCAGCGATGGGGATGGATATCGAACCTGGGCAGGGCCGAGTTTCTATAATTTGTTTATCATCTGACTCCTTTCCTGTCTCTTTTCCCCTCCTCCAGAAAAGAGTTTGGCCTCTGCCCGAGTGTTGTGCCAGATACTTTCCCCCTCTTGTGCCAAACAGTCGAAATGGCTCCTGCAAAACCGGCGAGATCTTCTCTTCCCGTGCCCTTCCCTGAGCAGCGTCTGGAGTGATTCCCTGTGCAGTTTGGGGGCTGGGCTCTGCTAAAATGCCTGAGATCAAAGTCACCCCCTTGGGTAAGTCCAGTCCAAAACCGGCCTGAAACACAAACGCTGTGGGATTTAGAATTGAGGGTGAGATGTGTTGGGTTGGCACGGAAAACTGGCCTTGGTGGCACCTGTAACGTGTGGGACAGTTGTGGTTCTTGGCAGCTTCTTGTCTTCTCACTGCCCTCTGTGTGCCTTTCAAGCAAATAAGACTCTGAACAGTCATAATTCATTTGATTACAGGATCAATTAACGTGTTCTGGTAAAGGATTGTACAGTGGAGGTAAAGCATTAGTTCAGTTACTGTGGTAAAGAGCCACAGGAAGCAAATCTTTCTCTTTTCTTTCTTTTTTTAATCTCTTTTTATGGGTTGCACAGACACTGTTTCTGTGCTGAGAGGGAACAGGATGTGCTGGGCAGGGGAACTGCCTTATCCTGATGGATAATTTTTGGGCTTGATGTGGACTTAATTAAAGCTTAATGAAGCTTCCACTGAGGGCAGAGCACCAGAGGGAACTGAGGTTCATGTTAATCCTTTCCAGATAAAGGATTATTTTGGTTTTACTCGAAACTGTAGCTGCAACTTGCAGGAAGTTTGTGCAGACCTTTAAGTGCTTCTCTTTTGAAAGGATTGTAAACGTTCCCAGAGATGTTTTACTTGCCTTTTCCCTGTGTCCAGGGGCTGGGCAGGATGTGGGACGGAGCTGTATCCTCGTGTCCATCGCTGGGAAGAACGTGATGCTGGACTGTGGGATGCACATGGGCTACAACGATGATGTGAGTGCAGTGGGGAGCAGGAATGGGGTGAGGGGACATGTCCTGGCCCTTCCCAGCAGGACTGTTCCACTCTGGTAATTTTTCCTTGAACGTTGCCCGGCTCATCTCATGTGACACAGGGCTGTGTGTAGGTGTGTGTATGGAATCATGGAATATCTGAGCTGGAAGGGACCCCCAAGGACCATCAGTCCAGCTCCTGGCCCTGAACAGACACCCCAACAGTCCCACCTTGTCCCTCAGAGCGTTGTCCAAACCCTCCTGGAGCTCTGGCAGCCTTGGGGCCGTGCCCACTGCCCTGGGGAGCCTGTTCAGTGCCAACCACCCTCTGGGGGAAGATTCTTCTTTAACCAAGGCCAGTTCCCTGTCTGTCCCCTGGCAGCTCTCCCCTCCTTTCCCCTCTGACTCTTTCTACACATTCCCAGTGTTCCAAGGTCCCTCCCTCTGTTGTTTTGTTGGATCAGTGATGCAGCATTGCCTGGCTTTGTGTCCTGATGGATTCCCTGTTTTTCCATGTCCGCAGAGGCGCTTCCCTGACTTTTCCTACATCACCCAGAATGGGAGGCTGACAGACTTCCTGGACTGTGTGATCATCAGGTGAGGCAGCTCCTTCCCTGTCACAGCCCCAGTGGGAAATGGGAATGCTCTGTTATGCTGCCCCTTGCAACCCAAACACGTTCCAGGTCCCTCAGTCATATTTTGACTGGTTCCTCTGTGCCATGCAGAGCTTTAAAAATCAGAAGCAAGATGTGAGAGCACCAGCCAGGCCGAATTCCATACAGCACCTCCTTTATTCTTTGTGGGGTTTTTTTTGCAGCCACTTCCACTTGGACCATTGTGGAGCCTTGCCCTATTTCAGTGAGATGGTGGGTTATGATGGGCCCATCTACATGACACACCCCACCAAGGCCATCTGCCCCATCCTCCTGGAGGACTACAGGAAAATAACAGTGGACAAGAAAGGGGAAACCAACTTCTTCACTTCCCAGATGATTAAAGACTGCATGAAAAAGGTGGTGGCTGTGCACCTTCACCAGACAGTGCAGGTAAAGGCTCATTTCTGGGTACTTTTTGATCACACCAGGGGTTGTTGCAGAAGGCAACAGGCAGTTTTATTTGGAAATGCTGGCACTAATGGAGTGTTTGCCTGGTGGGGCAGGTGGATGAGGAGCTGGAGATCAAGGCATACTATGCAGGCCATGTCCTTGGAGCTGCCATGTTCCAGATCAAGGTTGGATGTGAGTCAGTTGTGTACACTGTGAGTATGCACAGATTTATACACATTGACCTCTTACATAGACATTATATATATATTTATATATATATATATATGCACAGCAATATTTCTAGGTCACTACATCACCTCTTAATGGCCTGTCCTGTTGCCTTGAGAATATTAATGGGTTTCTCTTCTTCCATCAGGGTGATTATAACATGACACCAGACAGACACTTGGGGTGAGTATGGCTTGTAAATATTTCTATGACTTGTAAATATTTCTGACAGGAGGATTTTAGCACAGATTGTTAACAGTAGGGGCTTATCAGCTTTGATTCTTTCTTAGGAGACTGGAACATTTAATGATGAAAAGATAAATGCAATTTTAAATTGTGAGGGTGAACGGGTTTACATTGACTCTGACAGATAGACCTTAATGTAATCTTCTTTTCATATTAATCTGTTCTATGAATCTTAATTCATATTTATCTGTTTTTAAGGCTGTGTAATAATTGGACTTCAGTGTTTGAATTGTTATTTCATGGTGCCTTCTCAATGCTTTTAATTCCTATGAGAGTTCGAGTCACAAACTTTAACACTCATTTTATTTTTCCTAGCATATGTGAGAGATTTGTAGTACTCATGTTTCACACAGGTAATAGGCTGGATCAGTATTGCTTTTCAAGGTCTGTAGTGTCTGTTTTGAGCTGGGTTAATTTAAAGGAGCTGTGCCTGCAGAGAGGTTCCTCTATGGTTAGAGGTTCCTGATACTGCCCCAGAATTCCCAGTGACTTCAGGCAGGCCAAGGCACAGCCGTGCTCCTGTTTCCTGTCTGCACATGGGGAGGCAGTGATATTGAGACCTGCAGGTCATTAATGCCAGCTCCTAATTGGATTTTCCTCCCATCCCCTTCCTCCAGGGCTGCCTGGATCGATAAGTGTCGCCCGGATCTGCTCATCAGCGAGTCCACCTACGCCACGACCATCCGAGATTCCAAACGCTGCAGGGAGAGGGACTTCCTCAAGAAAGTCCATGAGACTGTGGAAAGAGGAGGGAAGGTACAGTGGCCATCTCCACAAATAATGCCAGAATTGTTGCTCTCAACAGTTTGGTTTCCTGTTACCCAGGAGAGAACAGTGTGAGCACAGTGGGGTCTCACCCAGGCTGGTAGCTGGGATCGTGGTAACTGTGACCCATAACTTCTTTATATGTGCTTTTCTTAGGTATTTCTTCAGTTTTATTTGTATTTCTTCAGTTTTATTTGTATTTCTTCAGTTTTATTTGTATTTCTTTAGTTTTGTTTATTTGCTTTGTTTATTTATTAGTTTTTGTTTTATTTATTGTATCTTAGTTTTATTTATTTAGGTTTATGTGTGCGTGTGTGTTTGTGTTATGAAGTAGCAGTGGAAATGGAAAACTGCAAAGCTCCTTTGCAGAGCTTGAAACTTCTCATTTTATACAAAAGCAAAAATATAATTATCAGGAAAAAAAAACCCCTTTTAGAATCAGCAGGGTGGGCATTTCAGTCATTTTTATAGGTTGGGATGATAATAGCTGATGGAATAAAACTGATCCCACAGCCTTGCTTATTTTCAGACACTACTTTCTTCCCAAGATGCAAGTAGTTTAATAAAGAAGACATTTCCATCCCACCCAGAGAGGTGCTGGTCGGGTGGCAGTGCCTTTCATTCATTCCAAACTGCACAACACGTTCCTGGGAAGTGAAAAGAGTATCAGAAAGTGAGAGGGAACTGAGGGACTTGTTCAGAAATAACACCTCTGCAGTGATTTGATGCTGTGTGGGTTTCACAGACACTAAATCCCATCTATTTTGCAGGTTCTTATCCCAGTTTTTGCCCTTGGACGTGCCCAGGAACTTTGCATTTTATTGGAAACTTTCTGGTGAGTGCAGTGTCTCTGTGCAGGTACCTTTTTGTCCTCCTCTGTGCTCCTGGCAGGTTTCTGGGGTCCTTCTGTGTCTGGTGAATTTTTGTAAAGGTAGGAAGCTTCTGGACTTCCAGCCTGGATAGCCAGGATCCCACTTTGGCCCTCACAGCTCTCTGGGACACTTCTTTCCACAGGGAGAGGATGAACTTGAAGGCTCCAATCTACTTCTCCACGGGACTGACAGAGAAGGCCAACCATTATTACAAGCTCTTCATCACGTGGACTAACCAGAAAATCCGGAAAACCTTTGTGCAGAGGAACATGTTTGAGTTCAAACACATCAAAGCCTTCGACAGGGCCTTTGCAGACAACCCAGGGCCCATGGTAGGTGGGTGTTAGGGAGGGAACAGGGCAGAGCTGGGGGCTCAGGGAGCTGCTTTTAACCAGTCTGGGATCAACAGGCAGCCTAAGCCTCCTCTCCCCTGTTAATCCCACCTAAAACCCTTTTGTGGCCAAGCCATCTCTATAACTATTAAAGATATTTCTATCTTTATTTTAGTAAAAGTAAAATGCCCAGAGTAAATTAAAAGCTTGCATCTCTATTATAATCTGTACATCTCATAGACTCAGATCTGATAATCAGATAGATCTGATAGATTCAGATCTGATTCACATCTGATGGGTTCAAACTGAATCTGATAGATCCATCATGATTCAAACCATCATCTTTGCAGTATATTCTGTAAGTAGCTCAGGTGACAGATCCTTTACAGCACAATCTTGCATTGCTGGTTTTATTTCTGACTGGTTTATTAGTTATCATTATAAAACCATTCAGAGTTTTCAGCAGACACTGCTCACAGGTGTTTCCTAAAACAGCAGTTCAGCTCCTGTGAAAATTAGACAAGGTGGGGAAAAAAATAAAATAGCAAAAATCCCCATTTGATGGAGTGTCTGTAATGGGCATGGGGGGATTTTCTGTGCAGATTTAGAATATTATTATATTATAAGTAATGGAAAAATTGTTTTCTGTGATGATTCACGGTGTATCCTTGAATTCCAGGTGGTGTTTGCAACCCCTGGAATGCTTCACGCAGGACAGTCCCTTCAGATCTTCAGGAAGTGGGCAGGGAATGAAAAGAATATGGTAAGAAACTGTTCCCTTGAGTGATGCTTTCTGTTGCTGTGCCAGTGGGCAGAGGTTGCAGGAGAGCTTTTCCTCGGCCTCTGGGGTTTAAATGCCACGAGTTCTGTCATGACCCAGCCCGGGGCAGAGCTCACCCAAACTGTGCATTTGTGGCTGGTTTGGATGTTGAGGGCTGGGCCAGGCCCAGGGCAGGGGCAGTTGGGTGACATTCCTGGTTTTCCCTCCCAGGTGATCATGCCTGGATACTGCGTGCAGGGCACTGTGGGCCACAAGATCCTCAGCGGGCAGCGCAAGCTGGAGATGGAGGGCAGACAAATTGTAAGTTGGATTTTCCAGTCCAAGGGAAGGGTCATTTGGGGGGAAATCCTTCAAAACTTAAGGTGGTAGTTACACACAATGGATTAGGCTGCACCCAACCCTGAAAATGCCTCAAAGTAACTTTTTTTTTTTTTGGATTTGTACTCATTTTTTTCCTCTTTGCCATGTTGTCTTCTGCCATTAACGGGGTACATTTATAATGTTTAATAACAAAGCCCTGTTAGTCAAATAGGTAAAAATGTTGCATTTTTAAGCAGATGTGGATAATAAAATGATACCAGTTGTCCTTAAGTATTGATTTGTTTTGGCATTGGGGAATTTGAGGCCATAAGTTACTGAAAGCTTTTCTTTAAGGCAATTTAGGTGTTCTCCTTCCTCCTTTAACTAGAGAGGAGTCTGGGTCTGTCCTGTGTGTGTTATACAAGCTGCAGTGAGCCAAAGCCATTCCCAATTCCCAAATCCCGTGCTTTCTGCTCCTCCCCAGCTGGAAGTGAAGATGCAGGTGGAGTACATGTCCTTCAGTGCCCACGCAGATGCCAAGGGGATCATGCAGCTCATCCGCCAGGCTGAGCCTCGGAACGTGCTCCTGGTCCACGGGGAAGCCAAGAAAATGGAGTTCCTGAAGCAGAAAATAGAGCAGGAATTCCGTAGGTATCCTGTGTGTGTTGGTGCTGAGCAGGGAATGGCAGCAGAGCACTGAAGGTCACGTGTTTAATCCACAGGCCCTCAGCAGGGTTAGGTCTGATGGAATTTACAGGCACCCTCAAAAACTGGTGCCTGTAACGTCTTAATTAACATGTTAACTAAGCCCAGTTAATTTTAACGGTCCTTTGGACTGGAAGTGAAGTGGTTTGGTTGTGGTGCAGCATTTCCTGCTGCCACAGGCCTGACAGGGGCTGCTCCCATTGCAGATGTCAGCTGTTACATGCCCGCCAACGGAGAGACCACCACCATCTTCACCAACCCCTGCATCCCCGTGGACATCTCCCTGGGCCTCCTCAAGAGAGAAGCAGCAATAGGTGACTCTTCCAACCACAAAATTCCCTCTTTCAGGCCCTGCTCCTGTGCTGGCAGGAGGCAGAATGCTGCGAATATAATAATGTTTAAAAACAAACTCCGGCACGCTGCCTTGTTTGCCACTTTGTTGTTCGTTCACTATGGTAACAAAAAACTCACCTGTGCTTTTACCAGCTAGGTTTGGGAAAACTGGAGTTATTTTTATAAAATCAAGTTGAAAAAAAAAAATAATCTAAACCCTCTCAAATCAGGATGTGCTCTGGGAAGAGAGGCAGTTGTTCTGTGTTGTAAACTAGACGTGGTTTCTTATGTGTCAGGAGTTCTGATGATGGTTGAGCACCATGAATGCACTTAGCAGGAGAAAGGTGAAAAATTTTAGTGTCTGAACCTCATGAGGGCCTCAGAGGTCCATCTGTTGAGTCCTAGAGCAGCTGTTTAATGGGAAAATTCAGCACCTCATTGTTAACTGGTCTTTTCTTTCCCCTGGCCTTGGGTTAGGTCCTGTACCAGATGCCAAGAAGCCAAAGCTCATGCACGGCACGTTACTCATGAAGGATAACGTGAGTAAAAGTGTTCTTAAGCCTGTCTTGAGTCCTCTGAATGTTTTATAATTCACACAAGAGTTCTGGGTGCACAAGGAGCCAAAATCAAGATTTAAGCAGTTCTGGTTTCTTACAAAGAAGGCGCCAGGGGAGGATTTCTTCCTCTGTGACCTCACGTTTGTATTCAAACACCATTCCCCTGCTAAAGAGGATAAAAACAGCTTCCAGAGGGCAACTTCAGTTTTGTTAAATGAAGGGCTTGTATGATTATTGAGGTGGGCATTTTGCCATCACCCCCTCATGCTCCCAGCAGTGAGATGGAAAAGGTGAACAAACAGCAACGCGTGATGGAAGTTTGCTGAACACCCCTGTGAGCAGCTGCCCACAGAGGGGCAGTGCAACTGCAGAAAGCTCCAAGCACTGGATTTTCATGGATTTATCCCTTCTCTCTGCAGAGTTTCAGGCTGGTTTCCCCTGAGCAGGCCCTGAAGGAGCTGGGCCTGGCAGAGCATCAGCTGCGCTTCACGTGCCGCGTCCACATCCAGGACCCGCGCAAGGAGCACGAGACGGTGCTTCGGGTCTACAACCACCTCAAGGGGTGAGGCCCTTCTTAACTCACAGGGGTTTTTTTTCCCCCCCACCTAGGGATGCAGTTGAGTTTATCATTCCTAATCCAGGTAGCACAGGTGCCCCCTCCTTTGAGCTGGCAACAGCAGAACCTACAGGCAGCTGGCGGGTCCCTGAGCGGGGCTTTGCTCTGATGAACTGGGGGTAGAACTGTCATGAAGGCCAGAAATAAATTCTGTAGGAAATCCTACATGATTAATACAAGCAGCAGAATCACCAAGCTGTGGGTTATCCCTGTTCCCCCTTCTTTGGGAAGCGGGAGACTCCTTGGGGGGAGTAGGTGCTGGCTCAGCCACAGCGAAAAGGAGTAAACCATAGGCTGGGGTTTGGGGTAAAGATGCAGGGGTGACCCACCCTTCACCTGGGGGCATTTCCCTCCCAAATAAATCATTTTTTTCCTCTCTTACCAGGGTCCTGAAGGATTATTCCGTGCAGCATCTCCCTGATGGCTCTATAACCGTGGAGTCCATCCTTATCCAGGCCACAGCACACTCAGAGGATCAGGGAACCAAAGTCCTGCTCGTGTCCTGGACTTACCAGGTAGGAACACTCCAGGACTTTCTGCTCTGAACTCCTTTCAGTCCAAAACTGTCCCGGGCTGGAGGTGGCTGGAAGTGTTGAGCCTTCCTCCCTCTGGTTTGGAAGGAGTTTGACTGGAGGATGAGCTGAGTTGCTGCCATTTTCTTGACCATTTTGGGTTTAGTACAAATGGCTTTACAGGAGCTCTCTGGGACCACTGAGCTGGAGTAATTACAGTTAATTACAATTAATTATTACAGTTCTGTGTTTTGAGGACACTGAGCTGTATCCCTACTGCCATGCAGAGTGTGGAGGTATTTTACATTGTATTTCTTAGTTTTCTACTTGCTTGAAGCCTATGTGTAATCTTAACACTGTTTTATTAGATCTTCATTATGTTTTCTTCCTTTCAAAAGGACACTTTCTCTGGCTGTGTCATTAAATTCTTTCTTTACAGCAAAGAAGTGCCTTCTGGGGGCAAAGCAACACAGTCAATGGATCTTTATTCCTTACTTTCAAGAAAAGTGACGATTTTCCTCAAAAGAGACCCCTCAGGTCCAGCCACCTCCTTTGAGAAAGGGGAGTTTTACACCAGTATTTGGGAGGAACACCCAGAAAGGCAGCTGTGGCTCTGTTTCCATTTTTGAACACAGCTAACATTAGATCCTGCAGGGTCCAAGAATTGTTTCAGCCTATTTCTGGGTACCAGAGTTGAATTTACTGCCCCAGATGGGACAGGCAAGTAGAAGATTTTGCTTTCATCCCATTTCTCTTTCTCCTCTGTAGGATGAAGAGCTGGGCAGTTATCTCACCTCCCTCCTGAAGAAAGGCCTGCCCCAGAGCACATCCTGAGAGCAGGGCAGAGCACAGGGGGTTACAGAGATGGAGATTTTATTTTGTTTACCTTGCCAATGGGTTTTTCCTGGTTTGTTTTAATAAAAGAATTACAGTGTTTGTCCAGTTACTGCAGTGCCAGTGCCTGCCTGTCACCAGCACTGTGATCTTCCCCCTTGGAAACCCGTGCAGGGAGTTGGGACAACCTGTTTTTAAACAGTCCTGAGGAACAAGCTTTGAGTTGCTTACACAGTAAAGCAAAAGTCACTCAGAGTTCCTCCCCCCTGCAGCTCAGTGCCCTTAAAAATCTCAGCAGTGCTGAGTGAAACAATTAAAATGCAAAGGATAATGGAGGTAAAAGAATAAAGCCCTAAATGTGCTGATCATCAAGCTGCTAAACTTATTTAATTCTCCCTCCTTCCCTCAGGGACAGCTGAGAAGCCTCCAGGAAAGCTGCTCTCCTGCATGGAGCCTCTAATAACATTTTTCTTCCTTTATGCAGGGCATAAAGATTGTGCTTAGTTGATAAGAACAGTCCCCCTCCAGTGCTGGGAGGATTTTCCATAGTCTGTAAATGGGACAAAAATAGCAATGGCTCATGAAAGGTGAAGGATTAATTTGTGCTAATGCTCCCTCTGAGCCTCCCCTGCCTCCACAGTGCTGGGGTTTGCACTTGGCTCCCCAAGGCCACACAGCACAGGAATTGTTTTCCTTGTTTTAGAAAAGTTTGAGCAGATTTTTCTCACCAGTATTTAAAATTTCCTCCAAGCTAAAAGCAAAACTGTGGCTGAATTTGGGCAGAAGCTGCACCATCCACTGTTGAGTAAAGAGAAATTAATAAACAGAGAACCACTGTCATTGATTCCCCCAAAGCCTTCTGCCACAATAATCCTGCTCTCTCCCTCCAGGCCCAGGGCAGTTCTTGTTCCAAGTCCAGCAGAACCTGGGCATGTGCCAGGTTACAACAGGAATTTTAGGCTGCATTTGGAAGCTAAAATACTGATTTAGCACATTGTCCTGTTAACCAAAGCCCCTGACAGTGTCCCTGCTGCTCTCAGCTACTCACAGCCCTTGTACCCGGAGCCCAAGAGCACACAGAGAGTTTTGGGGTGGCCTGGGGAAGGAGCAGAGCAGCAAGTCTCTGCACCTGTTACACCAAAAACCCTCATCCCTCTGAAGTAAACTCGGGTTGTCAGCCAGGCTTGTGGTTTTCTGGTGCCTCAGAGCACCCACAGATGAAAAATTCTCTCCACAGTCTCACGTTTCGCGGGGCGGAAAACTCAGCAGTTCTCAGAAGCCACATGGGTCTGTTAATACAAGAAAAAGGGGGTGAGAGAGGTCAGATGTTGTGTTTACAGCACAAAATGTGACTCAAAAAGAGAGAGCTTTGACATTTGAAGGGGACTGCACAGTGCAAAGAGCTGTGGCAGCTCCTCCAGGAACTGCAGAGAGGAGCTTGTTTACCACTGACTGATAAATACTGGGATCTGCTCCCTTCTAAACTTCCATTAATCCATGTCCAGCTTGAATCCAGGAAAGCCTGTCCTGGAATACTCCTCAGGAAGCCAAGTCAGGATGAGAAGCCCTTATTTGGCTGTGGAACGTGGGCTTTGAGCCCAGGGAGAACACACCAGATCCCTCCAAAACAGGAAAAAAAACCAAGCAGGGCTGCCCAAATCCACCTCTATCAATTAGGAGGCTGATTTCCTTCAGGTGGCCCTTTCCTGGGCTGTGCTGCTTCCCAGAAAAGAGCCCTGTGGATTGCCAACCCCGAAGTTAAACAGAACAAGCCCAAAACATCGTGAACACAGCAGGTTTCAGCACGTGCTGGGAAGGTCTGTCCGAGGACACAGCTATCCCAGGGGCTGTCCCAGTTGCCTGATCAACACCCACAGCTGGTGGGCACTTCCCTCCAGTGCTTTAACAGCCACCACACCAAAAACCAGTAGGTTTTACCACTTTGCTTGTAAAGAAACAGCTGGAAAGGTCACCCTTGTACTTACTTGAAGCAAACCAGTTGGTTCCACCGCTGGGTTTTTTGCCCCCACGTCTCTGCTGGAGTTTATAATCACAGAAGGGCTCCCCGAAATTCCTGTCACAGATGGTGAACACCTTTTTCGACCTGAACCTGAGCCTGAAGTTGCAGTGGCACTGCTTGCTGGAAGAGCTGTGGTAGCAGAGGAGCGGGGTGAGGCAGCAGCTGAGGCTCACCAGGGCCAGGCTGACCCTCCTCATCCCGTGGATCAGGATGGAGAACGACTCGTCCTGTATGAGCTGGACCCTCCCCAGGAAGTGCAGCAGGTGGGTGAGGTGATAGGGGAGGAAGCACAGGGCACAGATGGCCAGGATGATGAAGATGGTGCTCAGGGCCTTCCTCCGGGACACGCCGCGCCTCATGCGGGAGATCCTGCAGGCCGCGAGCGGGAATCCCACCAGGATGAGGGAAAATGGCACCACGGACCCCAACAGCAAGGCCAGGACGCTGTGAGGGGCCTCTCGCCAGGTCCAGCTGCTCGTGGGGAAGCTCTCCAGGCAGGCCGTGGTGTTCCCCACGCCCCGCTGGTGGAGGGGGCCCGCGAGGACAAGCGGGACGGTGACACCGAGGGCCACCACCCACAGGGCCGTGGCCACCAGCACGCAGTGGCCGGCCCTGAGCTGGATGTAGGCGAAGGGGTGCAGCACGGCCACGTACCGGTCCACGCAGAGGCAGGCGAAGAAGGCGATGCTGAGGTAGATGTGGACGTGGAACAGGGTCCCCGTGATCCCACAGGCAGCGGCCCCCAAGGTCCAGTTGCTCCCGTGCAGGTGGGAATGGATTTTGAAAGGCAGCACGCAGACAAACAGGGTGCCCAGCAGGGCCAGGTTGATCAGGTAAATGTAGGAGTGGGACGTGTGCCTCGCTCTGCAGGACAGCAGGGCCAGGGCCAGGGCGTTTCCCACCAGCCCCAGCACAAAGACAACGCTGTAGGTGACAGTGAACAAGAAATCCTGGGAATCTGCTTCCAACCGGAGCTCTGAGCTGCCGCTGGCAACTGTCTCATTGGAGGCCCAGGAAGCACCTGCCATGGTTTCTGCTGGAGAGGAGGAGGACATCCAACATGGGCTGGGAGCCTCAATCCATCCCTTCCCTCAGGAGGTCCTGGAGTTTTAGTTCATCTCGGTGAGCGAGAGCTAAAGCTGCACCACAGATGTTCAGCCTGGTGAGGTCTGTGCTTCAGAGCTGCTCAGATGGAAAGCAGTGCCACTAGAAGGGAAAAAATAAATCATTTAAACCACCAGCATATGAGTTTACACAGTAGACAGTATTTACTGGCACTAAAATCACCCCAAGGTGACAATAACAGAGCCAGCTGATGTTCGTGTACAAGGGATGAATTTACAGCACCCTAAACCTTCTCTGTGGGCAGAAAAGAAACCACCAGAAACCTGTTACAAGGGGGAGCCTAAAGGACCGGTTTTTATGTTTGGAATATGGCAAAGAGGCACTGCAGAAGCAGGACTCCTCACCCAGGTCACTCGTGTCACTCAGGCAACAAACTGCACTCCAACTGTGCTGCTCCCATCAAATAGAAAAGAAACCTGAGTAAGCAAACTAAACACAGCTTCTTGAGAAACTAAACTCAGCCACAACATGCAAAAAATGCTTCCAAAGTCGAGGCACTGAAAGCACAAAAGCTACAGAGGTCGTTGGGTACTTTCCAGAGGAAACTCTGAATTCACGTTTCCTCCCCACGCTTGTTTTTCTCACAGAGGCAAAGCCACCAGAGGTAAGTGGAACACAAGAAAGGCAGAAAAACAGCAGGCAAGGTTTGCTTGCACAGGTCTGGCACCTCACAGCAGAGGGTCTGTAAACACGGGGGGGAATTAATACCAAGCCAGGCATGACTTCAGGACTGGAAATGACCTTTATGTCAGAGTTTGGCAGAGCAAGAGCCACTGAACACCCACCTTGTGCAGGTTCAGAGTGTGGGGCTGCAGCTGGGGAGAGTAAGACCTACAAAATCCTTACAGGGAGGGTGAAAGGAGACCAAGGAGCTCCTGCTTCTCACCAGACAAATCCCCCAAATCCCTCCCTGCCCAAAACAGGATCCCATTTTACACCTTCCATTCTGAGAGTGGACAGATTTTAAAACATTTTAAAAGTGTGGAGTCTGATCAAATCCCCACAACTGGTTTGTTTTGTGTTCAGGTGTTTTTGTTTGTTTGTTTTTTTTTTTTTTTGAGGCTGTTTTTCCTTCCAGACAAATAAAAAGCACCACTGAACCTCTGTTTCTGTACAGAGTTATCTGATTTACAAGCACACAAAAGCATACACTGAAGTTCCCGCTGGGTTTTGAGCTCATGAAACGATTAGAAATGTTCTCATGTAAAACCCAAGGTGTTTAAACTCTGGTCAGTTGTGAGGTTTTTCTGGTTTTAAAGCAACAATCAGACACACAGATCTCCCCATCCATGGGATGTCCAAATGGAATCAACTGAAAGGAACCAGTAATGCAACCATACAAAAAGTACAAGAATGCTAAATAACCCTGATAATAAGTATTAATGATGGCCATAAAAAATATTTGGACTCGTAAAGAAATTCTCTACTGATGCTAAAAGAGCATCTCCTTTAATTCAGTGCCTTTAGATTACTTTTAACAGCTGCTCTGGGATGTAAAAAGCAAAGCAAAAACCCCTCAGTAGTTCTTTGTTCCAACTGCAGAGTTTGCCAGGGAATCTACTCCTGAATTACTGCCTGGGCAGCTGACCCTGGGCTGCTCAGCCACTGCATTTGATAACGAGGTTTTTATTGCAACCAGAAGTTTGGAAACACCTGCAGAAACCTCACTGACAGGTATTTTTGCACTGTGATGGTAAAAAGTGGTGGTGCCTGAGCCTGCAGCAGAATTTGGCCTGGTTAACACCCAAACAGTGCCAGCATTTAGTGGGTTTATGCCCTGTAAAGACTCACAGTAAATTTAGTCAGAAACAGAACTTACCAGAGCTCAGAGCAAAAGCTGCAGGGTGAGTTCAGTGGCCTCTCCAAGGTCCTCGGAGCCACCAGGTCCCTGCTCAGCTCCTCTGTGGGGAGTTTTGACACCCCAGTGGTGAGTTCTGTCACGTTGCTCTGCAGAGAGAAACCACAGGAAGCCAAGACCTGTCACTCACATGCAAGACAGAGCCCCTGCCCCGGCAGTGAAGTGCCCCCAGAGCTGGGCAGAGAGCACCAGGGGGTGCTTTTGTTCTCCCCAAACACCCACTGCATGAAGGGGGCACAAAACACCCACCCAAAGCCACCCCTGGGCCCCTCCAGTCATCCCATCCCATCCCATCCCATCCCATCCCATCCCATCCCATCCCATCCCATCCCATCCCATCCCATCCCATCCCATCCCATCCCATCCCATCCCCTCTGGAACCAGGTCCCCCTGCTCCAAAATGGGCCTCCAAAATAGGGCCAGATGCTGTTAAATTAAGAGAGCCACTCTATGAGCAAAAGGATGCTCTGCTCTGACCTCCAGCCTTTATAATACCAAAGGAAAAGGGAGTGAACTGAACTGGATCCACAGAAAATTGGGTCTTTATCCATGGTCTGGGACAGAACAAGAATTTAGGAGAATTTAAAGCACCATTTAAAGCCATTGCCAACAGAACTTCTCTCTTACTAACCTGAAAAGGGAGAGGGGAAAATCTACAAGTGAAAAATACACTGTTTTTCTGCTCCCACTGCCCCTTCCAGGGAGGAAGAGCAAAGGAATGCTGCCATTCCCTTCCAGGGAGGAAGAGCAAAGGAATGCTGCCATTCCCTTCCAGGAAAACCTCTGGCTGAAAAGCTTTGGCCAAAGAGCTCTGGACAAGCCCCACTGCTGGTGCTGGCAAATCCCTGCAGGCTGCTCAGCATCCCCAATTCCCTGGCCTGAGCCAGCCAGGATGGGCCAGGAGGCACAAACAGGTACCACGAGAGCAACAGAGCAGCTCCAACTCTGCCCTTCCACGGTGCAGATCCAGGGAGACCTTGGGAATGAACCTCTGAAGGAATTCCATGGCAAGGGACAGGGCAGGCAGAAGTAGCTCACCTTATTTTCCCTGTAACCTGACACTGTAACAGTCACTTTAGAACCAAACCAGACAGAGATTCTGATGTCACTCACCAGAAAAACCCCCCACAAAGTGTATTTATTGCCTGGGCAAGCAGGAAGGACCTGAAGGTAGGGGGGTTAAAAAAAAACATTAAACAAAAATATGATAAAGAAATGTATTAATATATATATAAATATAACAAAATAAAAAATATATTTAAATAATATATAACTATATATTTAAATATATAAATATATAATACATAATACATATAATATATATAAATATATATTTAAATATATAAAAAATATATAAATATATATAACATATATAAAATATAAAAATATATATAATATATAATATATATAAATATATATTTAAATATATATAATATAGATTATATATAAATATATATAATACATTATATATATAATATTTATAAAATATATGTTTAAATATATAAAATATATATTTAAATATAGACAGCATTATTCCATCTCAACATCATATTTCCAGATATAAAATATAGACATCATCTCTCATACTCATATAGATAGTATGAAATGTCTATTTACTTTTTATGAAATCTCTCCCCTCTATCTCCCACCTCCCCCTATTATTTCCCTCTATTACTATATCTATACATCTGGGTCTAATGCTTGGCACCACCTATCACCTCCTATCTCCCATCTAGATAAATCTCATAGTTAAAATATCGGCCTCCTCTACCTCTCTATACTCCTCCTCTCGCTCCCCCTCTATCTTTTCCCTCTCAACCTCTCTCTCCTCCTCATCCATCATCCATTATCCCTATCCTTCCCCATCCCCCCGTCTCCCTCTCTCACGCTCCACCCTCCTCTTGCTCTCTCTCCCCTCTCTCCCTATTCCTCCTACCTCCTCTCTCCCCCTTCTCTTTCACCTATACACCATCTTTTCCCTCTCTCCTGCTCTCGCTCTTCTCTTCTCGCTCTGTACTCTCTCCTGTCTCTGCCCCTCTATTTCCCTCTCATCCAAGGCCTCTCTTCTCTCTATTGCTTCGCCCATAGTCCCGCCTCTCTCGCTCTAACTCTCACCTCTCTCCCGATCACCCCCAAGTCCTCTGCACTCTGATTTCCAGGCCCTGAGATCCCTGCCAGCCCCAGAACACTCTGCAGCACCACAGAGAGGAGCAGAAGGTGACCACAAGCCCATCAGAGCCCAGCAGCAGCACGAGCCACCTCAGAGAAACCCCAAAGGGCCATTTTGTGCTTCTCCTGACTCACCCCAGTCGCTGCTCCCGTGCTGGGACCTTTAAAACCCTTTGAAGTGACCTCAGAGGGACTTTGGGCTGCACAGAAGGGCCTTTGTCCCGGGGGACAGGCTGAGGTTCCTCTGCTGCAGCTCAGCAGGGATGGGGAGAGGAAACAGCAGCACTTTCAAAGCTGGGGCTGTAAATCACTCATCAGGCAGCAACAGTTGGCCCTTGCCCTGCACAAAGGCAGGGCTGGGGAGAAGAGGAAATGCTCAATTCTCCTCTGCTCTCAGCCTGCCTTCCTCCCACACGCACCACAGGAGGAGAAAAACACCCCACCTACAAAAAAAACCAAGCCCCAACTCCTTCCTCCTCCTGAGACAGGCAGCAGAAGCCCAGAGGAAGGCAAAAAGAACGAGCAGTTGTCTGAGGGCAGCTCTTCCCCTTCCCTTGGCAGCCTCAGAGGGCAAGAACAAATGATAGGAAGATGCTCCAGCCACAGTCAATGGTTTTTATTGAGACAAGGCTGTGTCCCCTGGCCAGGCTCCATCCCACAGCCACAGCAGTCCTTTCACACACAGCTCAGCCCACAGGGCTCTATTCATCCTCCCGGGGCCGCTGTCACGTCCAAATCTGAGGGGAGAGAGGGAAAAAAAAGGAAACATTGACTTAGGGGGAAAGATGGCAGAGAAACCACCTGAAAGCACTTAAAATTTGTGCTCTGCACTTCCCCCCGGGCTCTGGGAGGGAAGGAGGGGGACAAGGAAGAGGGGGAAATCTGCAAGTGAAAAACACACTTGTTTTTCCACATCAGCTGCTGGGAACCCCTCTGTGTCTGACACCCTCCCTGGGACCTTCACGAGATGATCTTCAAGGTCCCTTCCAACCCAAACCATGCTGGGTGGGTGCCCACAGAGGCCTGACTCCCCCCAAAACCAAAGCCATTCCCAGCATCCACCCACCTGCCTCGTTGTATTCCACGGATTTCAGGAAGAGCCCCGAGGCCGGGGCCATGATATTGGGAGGAAAAGCCAGGGCATCTTTGACCTCCAGCAGCTCCTTCACGTGATGAGGTGCCAACCTCCCCATGCCAACTGCAACCAGAGCCCCCACCATCCTCCTGACCTGGGAAAACAGAGGCCACGGCTCAGAAGCTGCCCTGGAGAAACTCCAAAGCAGATGAGGAACTTCTGTCCAGACCCTTGTTTTAGGTTGCACTGAAGTACCTCAAGTCACAGCCCACCCAGGCTCATCCATCAGGGTCCAAGCCAGCCCTGGCTGCCCCTTGTGTACCTTTGGCATCACATAATCCCCCCCCAGAGAGCACTTCCAGTGCTCACTTTACCTCTTCAGAAAGTTCATCACCCCTTAAGAGTCCCTGAGCTCTCCCCAGCAGCCACAGCAACCCCAAAATCTGCAAGAAAAGCTGTTCTTTCCCCTTTTAGCAGGGATGGCAGGGGCTGCCTGGGTTGGGTGACACACTCAGCCTGCCTGCAACGTGCAGTGGAACCTTCTCAGTGCCCAAAGCTGGGTGGTGGGGAAGGCAAAAGAACCAGTAAAATCACCCCATTTCTTTTAAGTCCTTCCCTGCAACTAAAGACATTCACTAAAGACCTGCAACACAAGGATCTCCAGCCCCACAGCAGTGCCTTGGAGCAAGGCTTTGCTCTCCTCACACGTGGGAAGGGAGCTGAGCAGGGGCTGCTTTCAGCTCCAGAAACAACAGCAGCCCCCACACAGGGTCTGTGGCAGGAACCTCACGTGCCTGGTGGGGAGCTGAGCTCACAGGTTTCAACACACAAGCAACACTTTTCAGGTGGAGGATTATGCAGGGACTTTGTTTCTCTCTCAGAAAGCCAGAAAAGAGGGAGGAGGAAAAAAAAAAATATCACCCAAATAGGACATCCCACCAGCAAACTGGTATTTCACACACCTCTGCTTGTCACAGCTTCCCTTCCCTCCCTCCACACCCAGCAATTCCAGACCTGGTGGGCTGGCAGAGATTTCACACCTCAGTGCTCACCTCCTGCACAAACAGCCCTCACACCTCAGCATCCTCCTGGCTGAGAAAACTCCTCCTGTATCCCCAGGAGGGCCAAGATTTGGAGCTGCCAATGCCACCTGCACACCAAATGCTGCCTCTCCATCCCTGGTTCTCCACCCCTAATTCTCCATCCCTGGTTCTCCATCCATAGTTCTCCACCCCTAATTCTCCATCCTCCTGATTCTCCATCTCTAATTCTCCATCCCTAATTCTCCATCCTTAATTCTCCCTGTGTGGTGGCTACAAACATCAGTTATTTGGACTAAACAAACACTCATTCCCTGGATGCCCTTTCAGAGCTCTCCAAACCCTTCCCTGCAGTGCTGGGATGAATCACTGCTCGGAGTTTCTGATCCACTGGCATTTACTAAAGAATAAACCAAACCCCACTAAGGTCATGTTTATCCCTGGTAAGGAGGAAGGTCCAACAAGCCAAGAGATATTTATCCAGAGGCAAGTGCTGGCTCTCCTTGTGTGCTCTGATCTTGGAGTGCCCAGAGCCTGCCTGCAGGATCCTCCACATCTGTTATTTTATCCACCCTCACTAGAGGTCATTGCATGCCACGACTTCAGTTGTGATGTCTCCACACTCAAGAGTCAGCTGGAAAAAAAACCCCACACACTAATGGTCCACATCCTGAACAGCCACGTGTTTGGTGTCTCCCCTCTTCTGCAGGGCATTCAGAAAAAAAAAGTATATATAAAAAAAAAAAAGGTTTTGGGGTGGTTTTTAATAATGAAACCATCCAGATTTCAGTATTTATAGACCCCATATGAGTGAGAGCAGAGGTTCACCTCAGCCTGGTCTCCTCTTTATGATGGAGGGCAGAAGCAGATGCATTTTCTCCTTGTCACCAGAGCACCTGAAGGAGCAGATCCCTGCTGGGTCTCAAGCCCTTCCCAAGCACATTGTTGTTCTTCCCCTGCTCCCATCCAGACACCTCCTGCCACAGCTCCCAGAGCTGTTGCTTGGCACAGGATAAAAAACAAACTGGGTTTGTCAAAACAGGATAAAAAATAGCTGCTTGCTGTTCCCACAAAACACCCCCTCTCCTCCAAAAAAACAACAAGCCCTCTCCTGCCTGTTCTCTGCCTCCAGAGTGTGACCAAGGGCTGGAGAGGCAGAGTGAGAGCAGCTCTTCCCTAACGAGGTGATGCCTGAAGTTGGGAAGAGAGAGTCTCCCCTGAGGATCCCAGCAAACCCCCAGGGGAGTTATTTCAAAGGAATAACTGCAGAGATGCTGCAGTTGTGCTGCAGAGCCCAAGTCAGGCCTTCCCACTGAGAGTCACTTCACGCTCCAAAGCCAGGGACTAAAATTCCAGGCAGCCTTTGCCGGGCCCAGCGCCATCCAGCAGAGCAGGAACACATGTCTGCTGGGTTTTACCACCCCACTGCAGGGACAAGGACTGTGGAGAACAAAACCTTCCATCCTCCCACACGAGTTTGTGAGGCTGGACAATCATTTTAGGCACGAACCAAAGAGATCCTGGTTCCAATGGATCAAAGGGGACAGATCCTTGACCTCACTGCTGCCCCAGGGTCCCTGTGAGTGTCACACAGCTGGAACAGCAGCTCTGCAAGAGATGGAGCCACACAGGGGTGGAACTTTGCTAAAACAATCCATATTTATAGAGGCAGCAACACTCTGGTTCTTGGGAGACAAAGTGTTTGCTGGACACGGCCCCAGACCTACCTGTCGGTAAAGAAACGACCTGCCCCTGATCTTCACCTCCCAGAACTCCAGAGCCCTAAAGAAAGCCAAATAAAAATAAAGAAAAAGGCATTCAAAAATCACATTTCAAACGGTTCTTTCACCCACAGATGAAGTAAATGTCAAAGATGAACATGAGGACAGCGGGGCAGCTGCACTGCCCCCCGTTTGGAAGCCCAGGCTGCTCCTTGGCTGCTCAGACACAGAGGTTTTCTGGGATGAAACAATTCCTACCTGCTTGGCACATTCCTGGTTTTATGACCTTCCTGCTGCCTTAAGTGTAACCTTCCTGTCCTCAGCAGAACCCCTCAAATAAAAGGGAAAAGGGCAACCCCAAACCGAGGTGCACCTGAGCAGCAGCCAAGGCACTGCTGGGCTGAGGGATTCAGCCTGGATATTCCCTGGAGAAAGGGAGAAACCACCAGTCATAGCAAAAAAAACCACCATTCCTTCAGAGGTGGTTTGAGGGAATCACGTGCTCCTGCTTCCAGGAATTGCAGGATGGATTCCAACCCTCAGCAGTGCCCACCGTGGCATCCACGTGCCACTGGAAAGGGTCAGGAGCCAGGAGATGGGCCTGAGGGATCTGGTTGGAGCAGGAAAACAGGCAGTGGCAGACAAGGAAACACTTCCAGAGCGGGAATGGGAATATTTGGGGATGGATGGAGCAAATGTGTTCATACAAACATCATTTTTCCAGGAATTTTTATGGTAGCAACCAACATTCCCTATAAGAACTCTCCTGAGGGTAACCACTCCAACACTTCACTGGCACCTGTTAAACCTTTTACAAGCTGTTTTCTAACTATTTTTGCATTTTTCTAACTAATTTTTTGCATTTTTCCAACCTTTTTTGCATTTTTCCAAACCATTTTTGCATTTTTCTAACTCCTTTTGGACTGTGTTAAGTCTATCACAAAGACCCAAACCCCACAGCTTTTGTCTCCAAATCAGAAAGCTCCTGGTCGTGGTTATCACTGCCCAAGGATTCCAAGGGAGTTAAATGCCATTATGCTCCTCAAAGCCATTCCTTTTTCAGCCTAAACATTCATTAAACCAATTAATATTGACACGTTACAAAAATGACTCACTGTAAAACCCCAAGTTTGGCTGCATGTGTCACCAAAACCAAAAATATTCCATCAGGAGCTGGTTTGATGCTTTGCAGAGCACTTTTTGGGTTTGTTTTCTCTCCCTTTCGAGCTGTTTTTGGCCTCCTGTGGGATGGGTTCCTGCAGCAAGTTATGCAAAAACCAGCAATTTCCGTGTTTTACGTTAAAATTGGAGACATAAAATATGTTTTAAATCTCAGAGATCAGTCCAGTGACAATAGCAGGGCTGGATTTGAGGTCCATTTGGTGATCTTGAGAGACTCTTAATGGTTATTTTCAGGTGAGCTCAGGACTCTGCTACTTCCAGGGCTCATCCTAAAGGACAAAAATGGAATTTGAGACAGACAAATTTTGCTTTCAAGCTGAAACACAACAGTGAGAGAAGCCAGCAGGAAAGCAGAAGTCACGTTCAGATGATGAATATCCATGATCTTTCTGGGAAAAAACTTGAGTTTCTGCTGGAGAGAGAATGCATTCAGCCACTTCATTTCAATACTTGCAAGACCTGGTCCTGAGAGAACCTGATACTCAAC